AAAAACTGAGCTGTTTAGTGATGGAGACGCACATTGTATAACTTGCCTAGGGCGCTAAATAACGTGGTGCCAGTTCTAGACATTTGTTTAGAAGAATTATTCAGATCAGTAATTATAGTTCTGCCCCTCAGCTTAATCCTTTAGAGATTTCTGGGCTATACAAAAACTGCTGAAAATTTCTCGTCCCAAACAAGAAGCCTTTAAAACAGGCATGGCCAATTATGGCCAGTGGTCAAATTTCATATTGCCCCCATCCGTTGTTATAGAATGTATTACTTACGACCCACCAGTATTGTCAATCAGACTATAAAGTACACACCTAAGAAATGCAATTTCATGTTTTACCGAAAGATGGCAACAGCACCGTGTGGCTACCCTCTGTCAGTATGACCCTGACTTTGGCCTTTTCCAGCCTATTTCTAAAAATCACTGCCTTTAAACCAGAGCTGGACTACATACTGCAGTCCAAATCTCAGTATCACCCTTCCCCATTAGTGCAGGCAAGATATTTGTTTTGGTCATCTGTAATGAATAGATTATAAAATATTGGTTAAATTTGTTTTGTCTTGGTCAAAGTCAGTTATAAATATATTTGGACACTTGGACTTTTGTCACTGTTTTCAACTTAATGAATTTCTGTTCCTATTCAGTTTTTTTAACTTAAAAGTTGAAAGACAATAATTAATAGATATATTATAGCTTCCTGGAAGTTTTTTTTCTCAAACGTTTTACTTCATCTTATATGGGCTTCAGATATGACAAGCTGGGTGATTTTGCTAAGAGCTGTTTAAATTTGTCATACGTGTGAAGAAATAAAAATGTGCCATTTGCAATAAAATTTTCATAAGATCGTTCATTTGGATTTTAATGGTTCAAAGAATGCCAAGCAGAATGGTTGACCCTCGTGCATATGCACCTCATCAAGTCGGGTCCTCTTTGAAGAAAGTTTCGACACACCTGCCTTAAAAGAAGTTATTTGGCGGGGTGGGGGGATTGGTCAAATCGAGACTAACTCTTCCCGTTTTTTGACGCTTATGTCTACACATGTGTAGAGTTTACACGTTTAGACTTAACAGAATGGTAATCATTGTTTGAGGTTTTAATGGATGTGGGTATATTCCTATCTCCCATCTATGTTTCATGATTATAGGAAAGTCCCAAAGGGAAAAAAATAAAAAATAAAAATAAGACAATCTTACCTCATTGCCAGTGACAAAGAGCGCGTTGTCAACGGGACATTTTGTTCTCTCTCGACTTCTGCAAATTGAGAAAAAAAAATTAACTCATGAAAACAACTGAACAGTAATATATGTGTGAATAAGAGAGCAGATGGAGCTAGAATCCACAGTTCTTAGCATTTACTTTTTAAAAAATTGCTCAATACAAACGTAGAGCAAAATATACTATTAAAATATTTTTTATCATAATAAATTGCAATAAAAAACATTTTACATCGCTACACAAAAACTTTCATGTTTTGGAACTTTAATCATTCCTTTTCGGACGATGGTAGATAATATATTTCATTATATGTTATCTACCACCGCCCAATGAGAGAACGATTAAATTTCCAAAGCATGAAAGGTTGTGTAGCGATGTAAAATGTTTTTATTGTATTTTTTATTTTATATATAACAGTGGGTCAGTCAGCTTGAGATTGGCCATTTTTAAATAGTCATGCTTGGTTTTGACCACAGCTATCTAAACATTACGACACCAAGTTTTGTTAACCAAGCAAAATATAGAATTAAGTAATAAAAGTAATTACATTAAAGTGTCGCGATGCCTCAATTTGGAAAGCTGTTGACTAAGCATATGACTAGCTGAGATTCAAAATTTATTTACAAGCCTAATATAAAGGAAATAACCTTCACCACGGCAAGGTCAGAGTTAAGATCTTTTATTGGAAAGTATAATTCTTTATTGGACTTTCCTTTACACGACAAAAAAAGACGAAAATTCCTTTTCAGTTATTTTGTGCATCTACAGAAATTAAAATTACTATTTATACTTTTTTTTTGTCCTTCGTTATAAACTTGAGAATTGGGAACCCACGAGTCAACACTAAAAATCCTAATAGTACCTAATTAGAAATCAGAACGAATTTTCCACAAATTCGAGAGACATTGACGAAGCTATTTTTTCCTGCTTCGGCTCAACTGGAGCTGTTAAAACTATCTTTTTGCAATGTTTCCATTCTACTTAGTTTCCACGTGGTACTCTCTTCGCGAGAGTATCCGGAAAGTTTTACGTTATTATGAAAGGCCTTCGTCATAATGCCGAAACCTTTATGCCCTTTACTTTGCTGACTACTTTCATACGAGCAAGCCTAGAATCATTCCGTAGCCAGCCTCGCTTCCTTCATATCCGACGACCAAGTCAATCCGACTTCCGTCGCACGTGACGTCCAATCCTTTCTGACATCCGTCTTTCACCGTCTAACCACCACCTGTACCTGACCAGTATTCTTAAACACTCTTGAAAATGGATCAACGTACCTCTACTTTAAATTTATGATGGCGGTGTTAAAATATTTTCTTAGTTGGATCAATAGAGAGCTGACGAAAAGTTAAAACGCGACTTTCTCCCATGACTCGAAAGATAAGTCCCTCCATAACAAAATTCAGTAAAGTCTTTGCACGGAGATGTATTAACAGAACAGCGATAGTTTTATATGTATCGTTCAAACAAAAACAATCGAGATAAAAATAAAGGAAAACTGGCGTAACATAAAATTTAACTTGGATGAGCGTGGGAAAAAGGGGGGAGCATTTACATAGATATTTACGTATAAATAGAGTACGCTGAACTTTCAGCTGTGACTTTAGGCGTAAGTTTCTCGATGAAAATAAGACAAATGAAGAAAGTTCTTTTAAAAGCAGAATCCTGTTGAGAGAGAATGCGTGGACTTAATGGTTTCATGCTCATTTATATTTTTAAAGGGTTATGGGCTTAGGACTTTTCAACACCAAAATAAAACGAATTGATTCGTCCATTATTTCTTCCAGTCACGTAGAATGTATATACTACTACCACTAAAGATTCGAAGATTAATTCTTAAATATACTAAATGTAAATACTATAACAATACTATAACGTATTTAATATTGATAAAAATATAATCTTTTGAGTTTACTGTAAGATAAAGTGATCCATTTTTTTTAATCAAATTATGCCCGCTCCTCATGAAAATACAGTTACTTTGTCAGTTTTATGAGCATCTTTTAAGATTAGGAATTTCCCCATTAAAGGCAGTGTCATAAAAACAAATTCGGTGCCTTTGTCGAAACCAAAAGATCCACTTACCCAATTACCGCTAAGATGCATTCCGAACAGAAACGATGGCCGCATTTTGTCTGCATAGGTTTCTGCATAATCCCCAGACATATAGGACAGATGAAACGTCGATCGAGGTTTCGGGTGATATCATATTCCAAGGACGCGTTTATATTCTAAGAAATGGACAAAAATTCAGCATATGAATGAATGAATATGTTAAACATTAAAAATAATTTAGGGCATAGATTCTTACGTAATTTCATGACGTGATAACATCTCTCGCAGTCTTGTTTCTCTAAATAACTTTGAGCACTTAACCATAACCATTCTTTTGCAGAAAAATGACAATGTTAAATAAGCCAAATAAGAAATAGGAGAGCCATGATTAATCAAGTCATAATTTTAAAAAGTCGACCGTAATTGGGATTGAGTCGAACGATTATTTCCTTAACTGCCTTTTATGTGCTTCGCCAGTGATACATAAAGTTTTGAATTCAGAGTTTTCCTTCTAGACCGGTTCCCACCCAAGGCTATAGAACTGGGTCCTATTCATCCATATCGGGAGGGTGGGGAGGGGGAAGAGTTGAGTTCATACCTATTTCAGCGGTATTAACCGCTTAACTGCCAAATTCTTTTAATACGCATTTTTGGCCCAGACAGGTGACTTAGTTTGTTTATTCCTTATATTTAATTTAAGTAGTTATCATTGTCGTTTTTATAGAAACTAGAACATCAAATATAGATGTGTATAAAACATCAAAAATGATATTGATTAGAAATAGTAAGTAATTTTCAAAATAGTTTTTCTACTCGTGAAATGTAAAATTACGACAGAAAGTGTCTTCTTACGGCTAATAAAAACTTTAAAGGCTAATTGTTGCAAAATATACCTCTGCAAATGCAACGTATGTAAGCAATTAAATGTAAATACAAGGAATAACATGTAGTGAGTTTAATTTTAACAGATCCCCAAATGGGGCTCATGGCAGGTAATGGGTTAACACGCAAGTATATTTTGTTAAAACAAATGTTTCCTTGTCTACATTTCGAGGAATTCGATCCATTTTTTTTTTTTTGCAATGAAATCTGGATTGGATGAATTTTCAACGAACCTCAAACACTAGTGAACGTTTATTAATGCTATATCTCTTTATATCAAGCACTCACATTACAAATACTACTTGCCTTAAAGGCATTATCTTTCAGAAATACGTTAGTTGACAAAATACAGTAGACATCCATTTATCTGACGTGATAATAGTAGCGCCCCTTTTTGGTCAGATTTTAGTCCTTTGAAAAGTAGTGTCTAGGGTTGGCTCAACAGTCATCTTCGAATGGCTCTCTTCGTCAGGTCTGAGACTGGAATGAGGGCCCGATATCGCGTCTTGCGTCGCTCAGTCTGTAGAAAAATTTTGCAGATTAAACAGGAACACTAGATTTATTTTTAAACAAGGTGAAAACAAATGACGCCGTGATTTTTTTTTCTTTTTACTGCTTAACACTTTACAGGTTATTCAAAACCATAAAATACTTTTAGATTGTAAGAATTTTTTAGACAATGATTTACCGATACACGTTTTACTAATTAACCCATAGCTTTGGGGGAGACGGTGGATTCCTACCGGTAAGCGAATACAACGAACCCGACTTTAATTGGAACTGCTCTCCAATTTCCAATTCTGAGCTGTTATCCATTACACCACTCGCACATCTAAGATTAGAGCACCTGATATTGCCAAGGTGTCACCTATCTAGGTACTGACTTAGATCGACGTTGCTTAACTTAGGTGTTCGTACGAGAAGTGGTGTTTCAACGTGATATTGCCGTAAGCCTTTGAAACATGAGGAAGGAGGGCTTGGAGAATTTGACACGGGACATTGAAGGCGAAAGGGACAGAAGGAAAAAAAACAAAAGTGAATGAATAGCAGAACAGACTAAGGGATAAGGGACAAACGTTTAGAGCAACGAAGGAAAAATGTGTTGTCATGATTAACCACGTTTAGAAGTAACACGGCTCATTGAGTACTTCGTTAGCCATTTAAAATATCGCTAAACCTGAAAGAAAGTCCTAGATTTCAGTATATTACCAGTCGTATCAGATCGTAGTGAATGCTGGACAACAGAAATGTCGTTCTACGGAAGAATACAGAGAACACCGGACTGAACATTGGATTTTTAAGAGTGAAAAAAAAAAAAAAAAAAAAAAACGAAAACAAAAGAACACTTGTACTTGCGGGAAATTGTGAAGAACTATGATCACCCACGCCCTGAAGATATACAGCACATAGAAAAAGGAAACTAATAAAAAGTATTAAAAAAAAAAAAAAATTTAAAAAGAGTTGAAATTAACTGGAACACATGAAGACGGCTTAGAAAGTTTAAACACTCACAAGACAGATTAAAATCAAGAGACACAGAGGAAAACAGCGTATAACGAGTTTGTGCAGATGGTTGGCAGAACGGATTAGCAAAGATAAAAAGACTAAGTTACAAAGGACAGGAAATTGTGAAGAATTATGATCACCCACGCCCTGAAGATATACGGCACATAGAAAAAGGAAACTAATAGAAAGTACCATTAAAAAAAAAAAAAAAAAAAAAAAAGTTTCATAGTTTTAGTTAGAGAATGAAAAAGACTTAACTGGTAAGCATGACAAAACGCCTTCATTCCATTCTTACTGATAAAACGATTCGTCTTTTTATCATTAGGATGACGTTTATTTTCTATCTAGCATGTCATTCCTTATGTCTTCAAAATCTCAGCATGTTTGAAGGAGAAACTCCTCTTCTGAACAATGTTTAACATAATAGCTCTCTAAGTGTTACTTTAAGACCTAACGCTTATCACCGACACTTCCAGTCTTGATTCTCTCAGATTATTTGCCATTTTATTTTTTTTTCCCTTGTTAAAGGATTTCTTTTAAAACTGCCGACCAAGACATTTGTTTGTCCCAGACGACTTTCATAAATGTTTCCAGTGTCAATTCGATTGTACAAATGTTAAGTGCCGGGTTCAAATCGAGTGTTGGATTACCGCCTCCCTGGCGATATCACAGGCGGCGCGATATTTGAAAGACTTCCTCTTTTTCCCTTTGACATTTAGAGCGGCAACAATTTTTCATTCATTCCAATAGAGACGAGGCATGTAAGTAATTCAGGGAGACTGAAAATTGAACAGTTAAGACCGATTTCGAAATTCAGATATTTTAAGAGAATATTTACCGTATATACGCATACAAACTGACCTCATGTATAGATTTTTTTATTTTTTTTGCATGAATTTTGACACCCTCCAGAAAATAACATTTGGATAGTGCAACCGGTCGGCGAAAATGCATTTTAACCTCTCCCAAAATATTACCAGTATATAGTGCGACCCCTATTTTTTGGGCGTAACAAAAAAAACAAAAAATCTATACTCTCTAGTATATACGGTAATATTGCTGGTGGGTGCAGTGGAGGCTCGAAACGAGAAATCGGCGAAGAGTTAATTTCGGTCAAGATCATATCATTTTCGTAAAAATATTCCTGGAAGGGATATGAATCATCTCTTCTCAGCATCCCCTCTAGATGTGGGCTAAATAGCATAAGTCAGAATTTAGTTATGGTTGGCAGCCATAATAGATCAACAACTGAATTCAAGACTGTATACTACCCTTGCAAGGCAAACACAAAATGTAACTAAGGTCCGCTCTACATAATTGCAATATAACAAGGTGGCTCTGTGGGCGTTGCAAAAACAATGTGCCCGAGCAAACGGATATGCTCAGAAACGAGCCGACATAAAAGACTGATTTTCAATTTACCTTCAACATCTAACGAAGAACGTGTATCGAATGCGTTTTATGACAATACATGTGCAAAGTACTGTTAAGTTTGATAGCTCACTTCCTGGCTATATCGACTATTTTTGCGAAAATAGGAAATCATTTAATATAAAAGATACTAACAGCGATTTCTCATGGGTGCCTCCATTTTGATCGGATCGTCTGCAGTATAAACCACTAATTTAATGACTGCGCATATATATATATATATATATTACTATATTTTGATAACACGTCAAAAGCAGACAATATTTCTTAGAAGTTTATCTACAGCAGATATTTTAACTTTACATTTGCTTGCTTACCTTTATTTTACAATTCGAAGTAACTGGGTCAGTGTGGACAGCCATTGTCAAACCAACACGATTAAAACTGCTTAAGGAACTTTTTGGTTTCTAAAGAAAAATGAAAAAAAATTAGATTGTTCTATTTATTAGCAAGCATTTTTATCATTCTAACTTATACCGTTTGTTTTTGCACGTTTGAAACAGTTTTATTCTAGTAAATCATGCACAACAGACAAATGTAAACGTATGGAAAAAAACTGGACAACATTTGCATATTCAAGTAAAATTAGCTTTAAAAGAGGGATTGGGGGTTTATTTTAGTCTTATGTATGCTTGAAACACAAGTTTTGTAGAAATAAGGAGTACACAAATTTAATTTTCATTGTCAAAAGCCATTTAAATATCTTTTCCCCCTCTTGTGTTATTTTTTCCCCTTATGTTTTGAGGGACACTAATGTGTTTTTGAATAGGAGCGTTCATTCAAAACCTTGTTTAATTTAATGAGATTTATATATATATATATATATATATATATATATAAACAATGAAAAATTGTATTCTTATTCCTATAAAACTGAAAAACGTAATCGGGCAAAAAAATTAAGTATTCCATAAGGTTGCTGGATATATATAACGCGGAAAATGTAACGGCTTTTTTAGTAACTTTTATAAAAAAAATTTAAAATTATTGTTACATCAAAACGGGATTTATGATTGTCAAATTCGTGTTCAAGAATGCGCTCATGTTCAATACAACATTGAATCCTATCAGCAACACTTCTACAAATCATTTGACATGTCTGCATTAAATTTCAGAAAATCAAATTGCTTGTTTTAATTCAGGAATTGTTTTCGATTTGAACCTGTAAACAAGATTTTTCAGCACACCAGAACGTGATGGTCAGGTTACGTGAACAACGTTGGAATTGTAGAAAGTTGTATCGAGTAAAAATAGATACCTCCACGAAATCACGAAAAAAGAGCATAGCTTGATGAAAAAAAACGCCAACCTTGCCGAAAACAATTTTATCGTCTAAATGCTTATGTTATTAAGATGAAAGACCAAACTTTATTTTAAAATTTTTCCTTTAGAACATTCTAAATTGATTACCCCCCCCCCCAAAAAAAACCCTTTCTCTTTGTATCAGCGGATAGAGTAATTAACAGGCAATTTTTAGCCCGTTTTTTTGGTATGACAGATTAATTTGGAAAATCTTGCAAAAATAATTGTCAGGAACTATTCACAGATGATCGAAATTGTGTTTTTTTTTTTTTTTTTTTTAAAGTCATGGCAGAAATATTTATTTTATATTTATTACCCACCCCATAACTAATTTTATGAAAACGCTAGAAATTTGATCGAGTCTAGTTTAATGATTACAATAGTTAAAAGCACAAGGCTTTGAGGAATGCAAATCATGTTTTGTTTTGTTTTTTTAATTGGACCCCCTCCCCCACCTGAAAATCAGCTCTGAATTGTAACATACAAAACTCAATAAAACAAAGATATTATTTAATTTCAAATGCTTTTATTTGCTTTTAGGTGTTTTTATGAATATGGACAATATTTTCTGAAAGCAGAAAATTTTTTCGATGAAAAATGAATTATTTTTAATACAATTATGTTATTTCTTCTTATAGATTTTTACATTTAATTTAAGATATAAAATTAGTTAAAAGCGGCATCCAGTTTCGTAAGTGTCCTTATGAGAGAGATCTTTTTTACCACATTGTAAATTGTATCGTTTTGACTAATCAGAAAACCCGCAGTAATTAAATGTAATTTTGTGTTTATAATCGGGCCGTAATTATAAAGTACGAAAGACCAACCAGAATACAATTAAGTTGTATTATTTGAGTTAAGCATTGTTCTCCACTGTTAAAGCCTTTACTTTTGCGAAACACGTGAAGTTAATTTGATTTTTCAATTTCAACTGAGAAGGGTACCTACAAGTATCAGTATCATATGAAATTTATATGATCTTATTTGTATATTCATCTCAGTTATGACATTTTCCATAAATGAAAAATCAAAATAAAATGAATGGAAATACAAATAACACAGTAAAATGTAATGTACATAAGATTATAGTATTTTATGTACACTTCTGATAAAATTTCATAAGAAAGGTACCTATAAATTAATTAGATACCCTTCTTATGAAATATAAAATTTCATCTCAGTCTTAACAGTCTTATTTTAATTTCTTTATATTTTCCATAAAGCATCGTAAACGTAAAGGTGAAAGCTAAGTACAAAAAAAAAAAAAAAAAAAATGCGCTGAAAGTTTTCCTTAAAAATAACGAGGTAAATAATTTGTTCACTTAAATGTAAATTATTTCACTTTTCTCCATCCGTAGAACAAATTAACCTCACAGAATCCGTCAATATGTCATTCATCACCTGTCAAGTGAGGCGAAAGTTTATGACCTGCTTTGTTTTATTTTCAAATTACATCTTATCGACGCAGAAATTAAGTTAAGATTGGTTCAAAATATTTTAAACATTTGATTTTCTTGAAATAAGTTTTGAAAATATAATCGATATTTAAAAATTTCAAACTGATTTTCAGTTTCTTTATAAAATGGAAAAAAATGGTTGCCATCTGTCAATTTTGCGGACTCAAAAAATTTAACGAAAATTTTGAACGTGCTAGGAACGATTAAAAAGTGTATTAAAAAAAAAAAAAAAAAAAAAAAAATACCCCAATACTT